GCGAACGGAAAGTCTCTTTAAACTCAGTTGCGTCTTTCGTCTTTCGCTTTCTCCGCGCGTGGTAGTCGAAGAGCATTCGGCAGAAGCGGGCGAATATATATCAGAGAGGGAGACGATAAAAAAGAGAGAAGAAGAGCGACTTTTTCTGAAATCGCAGAAGGCGGCGGTGAGGAAGAGAAAAAGGGACGAGGAGAGACGAGCTGATTGAAGCAGGCACGATGTTTAATTCAACGAAACCGAAGACACGCCCCGCTAACTACGAAGAAGCGAATCTCGCCATCGACCCCGAGGAAAACCTGGATGGAGCTCTGTGCGCGATATTCCTCTCGCCTTCCCTTAAATCCCTTCGGTAATTGCTTCTCTCTTTTGGCAACTCGAGCTTGCGCGCTTTTAAGTTAGGATAGTCGAATTAGTAGGTAAATAAATCGGTCATTGGTAATTGGTCGGTAAACTGTTGATCAGAAATTTGTTAACTCAAGAAACGTACAGCATATGTATATCTACTGTTATTGTTAATATATATTTGTTGAATAATCTTCCTTAATATTTTCATTAATTAGTTAATTTTCTGTGTTCGGAAGTATATGACAACTCGAAAGAGACGACGAAAAGAGAATGCGAAGATTTCGCGAAACGCGCCATCGCTATACGACAAGCCTGCCATTTTGTCTCGGGTGCAGCAATTACCGAGGTTGCATTGCGACGCTCGTCTACAATGCGCATGTCCTCCAGGGTAAAAGGGTTAAAAGGCTTTCCCCTTCCTTTAACGGAGGGCAGGTCTCCGGTGGCTCGCACACAGATCCATTTCTCGCTTACGCGGTAGGTACTGAAGCAAGCAAGCGAAATTTACGCACGCGATAATATGAGACGCATGACGCTAAAAGCGCGTTACGCGGATTTCCGACCGCGCGCTCGCGTTGCGTCAGTACGCATATTTCATTAAGCCCCCCTTTTTCTGCCGATCACCCCGCGCGCTATGTGTAACCCTCGGGTGCGCAACCCTTTTTTTTTCGTCGGCGATAAAAAGCGATCCGGGTGGCAAGGCACGACGGCGCGGGGATCGCGGTCGCGTGCGTTCTGTTTTCCGTGCGTTGCGTCGTGGTGAGACATAACAAAACAAGCTCCCGCTCTTGCTGCAGCAAGAAAAAGTTCACCGAAAGCCGAGACAATAACGTCGCGCAGCTGGTTAAACGCGGAAGGGTTGCCGATTAGCATAAAAGGTTACGATTACACGCGCGCGCGGGGCGGAATCAGATCATCTGATCGGGTTGCGCTGGCAAAACGATACGCGTTTTTGCCTCCTAAAAACTTACATATGCCTATGCAACAATTCTCAGTGGCTTGCTTCACAATGCGTCATCGAATTAGAATAAGGCAAATTTTCTTGGTAAAAAAAAAAACCGAATTTGCATTTGTTTTTTAGCAAAATCATAAAATATTTTTATCAATTTTTGCATCTTATATGTGTATTATGTATAAGCGTAGTTATTTATTTTTACTGTGAAATGATATCGTTTTTAGAGATGTTTTAAAGTAATTGCTCAATAATATCACTAAATAGCTTGTTATTTATCGATTTAGTGATGCATGTGCTTTAGTGATTAAAATTAGGTACCTGTGGAAGAGAGCGCTGAGAATAATCATTCTTTTACGTGAGAAGATAAATCAAATATAGAATGATACAAATGTGTGCGTGCGAAGCTGATCGAAAATGATGGTGAAGAGGGTAACCGAAAAATTGTGTCAATGAAGTTATAAAAGTGGGTTCTGTGCCTCTCGGCGTTTCCCTCTTGCGTTCCCCTCGATTCTAAGCCGCAAAAAGCACGGGGTTTCCAGCCCCAAAAAATACAAACAACAATGCATTATTTATATATATACCGTTCGGATGACAGTGTGTGTCAGTACGTGCGCGCATGATTTTCTCTCTCGAGATGATAATTTAATTAATCTTATTATATATTAAAATTGTATATAAATAAGATAAAATTGCAATAAAGATCAAGATATTGAAAATATTCGAAATTTAACTTTACACAATTTGTACAGTCAATGCATTATATTCCGACATATCATACTTGAACATTACGAAAGATCCATCCAGTATTTTAGTGGCCGAATTGGAAAAGCGATTGCACGAAATGCGAGAAAATTTGATTCAAATTTGATTTATGATCAAGGTGTCTTTTTCGCAATTGGTTTTTTAAATGTCATAAGAAATGTATTAAATTATAAAATTTGCTCGCAATATTAACAATAAGTATAGAAAAATATAACAAGGTCTGTTTCGAGCTTTTAATGGATCTTAAAATTTATTTAAACAAGAAGCATATAAAACGCAAATAAAATTAACAAATGACAAACGTTTCGGTCCTTACTTGAGCCTTCTTCAGGCCTTTTAGTTAAAGTTAAAACGTTAACTTTTATATTGTGTGTGATTATTTACTCTCTCTCTCTCTCTACACGACTTTTTCAGGAAGTCAAACATTATACAACCTACTATGGACTTCTAATGTAAGATCTATCATTTTTTCTTTTTAATTTCCATGTAATTTTGCGAACCTTGTGATATGACGTGATTATTTATATTTATATTTATCTTTGTACACTGAAGAAGGCTCAAGAGCCGAAACGTTTGTCATTTGTTAATTTTATTTGCGTTTTATATGCTTCTTGTTTAAATAAATTTTAAGATCCATTAAAAGCTCGAAACAGACCTTGTTATATTTTTCTATACTTATTGTCATAAGAAATAAAATGAGTTATTTCCAAGGTTGGGTAAGTTAAATTTTTTTTTTATTTAA